TGTTCACTGTTTTCATAGAAACAGCACTGTTATATTTATCATTTTCCTTTAGGCAATCACAAGTGTCTTACCGTAAAGTTAAAAAGGAAGTCAAAAACAGGCCTGCACAGACTTCCACTGTGGTTTTTGTGATTGTGTCACGATATCTAAGCCTGCAAATTATAGTTTTTCTCTTACAGGCATGTCTTTTAGAGATTTACCCCTTTTTTAAGATATGATCAGTGCTTTATAAAGGTCATTTGTGTCTTGCATTAAATCATGGCAAAATATCATAAATTAATTTATTTCTCTTCATTTGTTATACAACTGATTTACTGATTAAAATGCTGAGTTTTAAGTGAATTAAAAAAGGAGACAACAGTTAATTACAATAACTGCATGCTCTAAAAGCACTCTTTTGGTGACTTCACTTATCAATTCATGTACCTAACTTAACCTTTGATTGATTGTATTGACACTCTCTGAAACTAGGATAATCCTGCAGCAATTTTTCCTTTCACACTTTTGTGAAACAGTGTCATGAGGTGATCACTACATAAACAGCAGCTCTTATCAGTGTGATCAACTTTATGTAGTCCACAGTAGCAGTTGTTACTGTCATTAAAAACTCTTTGAGGAATGTAACCATTTTTAATAGGAGTGTAAGAACAAGGTTCATGATGCTATTCAGGTAACCAAACCAACATAATAAATTCATGCCTGAAAATTTCAGCTCATCGATGTTGGTATGTTGTGTTTGCACTTAACTTCTGTAAAGCTATATGTTTGGCTTCTCTGCCCTCCATTGTTACGGTTAAAAGACCTTAGTTGAGCCTATTTATCATGGACCTGCCTGGCATGAGCAGGCACAACATGGCCAATGGTCCAGATAGTGGGATTTACTGAGGTGGGTAACAGTAGTGCATTGGCACGATAGTACTCTTTTGCTAATTGCTGAAGTTGCTCAAGATGAGTATCTTCCACTTCAAATCAATTGATGATTGAGCTCAAATCCCTCAGTCTTACACCAATTTTAGCTAGGGAAAGCAAATTCTGTCTTTGTTTTGGACTGTCATTGTCCTGCCTCAAAAATGTCAGCAACCTTGCAGAGTTGTGACAAAACAACCGTGACTCTTTTCCTGTAAAGCGATATTGCAAATTCCCTTGCTTACCCTGTGTTTTGTCAAACCATTTATGGGCCTTTTTAGCTAGGCAACCAGCCTTCACTTCACATTTAAGTGCAGTGACCAGTCTCTCCAAAGAGGTATCCTTTGGAACCTCTGCAAATGTTTTGCATGTTGATGGTATGTAGGACTTACCCACTGCCTCCTTCAACAGCACTTTGAAAAAATACCCCCAAGCATTATTTTTGAGGTGAAGAGGCTCTACATGAGCTTTATCAATTAATTTACCCACCAAAGGAATATATTCTCGACGGTTCTTTTGACGAGCTATAAAATCAGTAACCTTGGACCTCTTGTTTTTCGTCAACAAAGGTTTTCCTTCCAGTGAGGCCTTACAGCCTTCGCATCTTTAAGTCTATTGGCATACTGCCAGGGCTTCCATTTACATGAAGGACTGGAGCCAAATGTCCCCCCTAAATCAGTATAGTCTTTTGCACTTACATTTGCAAAAGGTGAAAAGAATGTAGCAGAATTACTAAGCTCTCTACCAAGCATTGCTAACATTTTCATGTCATTAGGAAGCTCTTCAAAATGAAATGACACATGTAAACCATTAATTTCAAATACACATCCCTCTAGATCCCTAATTTGTTTACATACAAAGTTTATGTACTTTTTCACAACAAGGGAGGTCTCCTCTACATTACCCCCAAAGACTAAAAAATTGTCACTGCTGGATGCCACTCTCTTTCCAACATTAAGAAAGCTGATAAGGAATGAACAAGCAGATTCATTTTTACCAAAAGTGCATCCATCCCCCCCCCAAATGCAACGAGAAACCTACCCTCTGTTTCTCCAAACCATTTTAATGCACCTTTGCGTTTCCCCTGCATGTTTAAATAAAATTTTGCTAGTCGGGGCAAATACTCTCTTAAGTCTCTAAAGCACCCATTAATATTCTCATCATCAATGTCTGTAGAGAATTCTTCTTCAATGGAATAGACCTTTCCCACATCAATCCTCTTAATTTCATTTACAAGAGAATTGTAAGTAAGTAGTTTTGGTATAGGGCAGTTTGACAATAAACTTGATAGCTCTCTTACCCCCTCCCCTCCCCTCCCCCCCCTTAGCATCACTGGACTTCATTGATGAAGCCAGCCTCACAGCTTGGTATTTCCTTTACCCCATTACCCCAGATGTATAATAAGTAGCTATGCTACGCAATACATTATCTTCTGAACATTCAAATTCTGCCAACTGTTCTTTTTTACATTGCTTGATGATATAATTTGTAACCTTACTGTTAGATAATCACCTAGAACACTGGTTTTGCACTTTGTAGATGTGATGTGGAAGAGACCATCAAGTGCAGGTCTTTTATTGGAAATTGTTTCTCCATGAATCTTCATGGCAGCTTTAAATGTTTCTTTACAATTCTATGCTGTAGTGTCTTAGGTGAGACAGTGTCAGTTGGTGGACACACATGAGTCACTGTTTACAAAAATGAGACAACTGAATATGCCTTGTTATTTTTTCATAGCTTCTAATTCTGAATTCTCAAATAGAATGGTGTTGTACACTTGAGACAATAGCCACATCTAATACTGTAATCCAGAAAGTATCCTTGCAATATACATATTCAAGATTGCATATTATGTTTAAGTTATCATCGCAGCATAAAAATAAGAGAATTATCCAGTATCATAAAGAATACCCTGACCTCTCTTGTTCCCTCCTATAATTATTATTTTCAAACAAACATGACATAACAACATATCTTTATTTCTCCTTCTGGGGTGTGAGCTTCTTTTTGTTGACTCTCAGTCTGAAAATATTCCCTAAGCTTAAAAGTCTCCACATTTTACAACTTTAATCTGTTAATAAAATGTCTCAAAAACATTACTGTCAAAACTTGCAGAGCTAAAAGATTCTGTGTTTATGCATGTAGATATATGCTAATTATATTACAACAATCTTAAATTGCATGCAGTACTGTGCATTTTCCTTTTAAATTTGGTAATTTTGGTTTGCTTGGGCTTCAACAACAAAAATAAGCACGAAACAGTGTTTACCAGATCAAAACCTGATTTCTCCTCACCTGCACGACTATTCGTATTATGATTGTCTTGGAAGAATTTCTTTTTGGTTTATGTTACAAAGTGAGGCCCATGTGTTTTAATAAAGAGCTGATAAGGGACTAAACAGTGAAACATATAGACTAAATAATCAACGATAGATTTCAAAGACTACCCTTATAATAAGTTAGGGAAATCATACAGTAGCGAGAACGGATTCTAGTGGTATTAATTTCATTTCAACAGAAGGCCGTCATTCTTAAATTCGGCCCCGTGTTTACCTTATCATCCAGTCTCTAAGCTTTTCGCTGGAGTGTTTTCACCTCTTTCGAAAGCTGAGAAAGGCTGGCTTTCTCTCTGGCGAACTCATCCTGCAAGCTTTTCCTTGCCTTGTTGTATTGCCCAACAGCAAAGCGGTTATATTGCTTTCGCCTGAGAGGCATATCACTGGTGTTGAAGGTTCGAAAAGTAAGTCTTGATCATTTCAGTACCGGTCTGTTCATACTCAAGTGTGACACAAACCACTCATAAAAAAGCAATATTTCTGAAAAAGTAAAACGAAATCCCCAAAACGAAAAACATACGTTTCTAACCGAAGGTTTGTAGTTTCCATTTTTGCAACACTTGATGTTATGTTCAGAAGAACGAAAAAGCCTTTTGAAGCTGAAGTTAGCCATTTTTAGAGCAGTTCCTCACGGCTCCATGATAAGGCAAAAGCGAAGACGAAGGAAAATTCACATATTTAACTTTTGCCGTTGAATTTGGTATCAAAATAAAGCTTGCTCTTCGTATTTTTGCAGGATAATGCTTTCAATTCATCCCGCGCTTTCCCAAACAGCAACGCGAGCATTATATATACCATTCCAAACTAGTTTCCAGGGCCATAACTTATGACAACGGCCATATCGCCATCTTTGGCGACAAT